ATTTTTGTCTATATCTGATATGAGAATAAGGAAAAGCAGTGGTGCAAGGACTGTACCCTGAGGTACAGAGCTTTTCACTGCACTTGGACTAGATTTTATATGGTTGACAGTTACTCGCTGAGTCCTGTTTGACAGAAAACTGAGTATCCAGCGTCCTACTTTACCGGTTATTCCCATTGACTTCATTTTGTGTGCTATCACGCCATGGTCACATTTATCGAAGGCCTTTGCGAAGTCCGTGTATATCACATCAGCATTCTGTTTCTCTTCTAATGCCTCAGTGACTTTGTCGTAGTGCTCAAGTAGCTGTGAGAGGCACGATCTTCCCGCTCGAAATCCATGTTGGCCTGGGTTATGAAGGTCATTGGTCTCCATGAAATTGGTGACCTGACTCCTAATCACTCTCTCAAATACTTTTATGATGTGCGATGTTAGTGCAACTGGTCTATAATTTTTTGCGAATGCTTTGCTCCCTCCCTTGTGTAGAGGGGCTATGTCTGCTACTTTAAGTGCATCTGGTATCTCCCCCGTGTCCAAGCTCTTCCTCCACACTATACTGAGTGCCTGTGCTACCGGCACTTTGCATTTCTTTATAAATATTGAATTCCATGAGTCTGGACCTGGGGCCGAGTGCATGGGCATGTTTTCAATTTCTTTTTCAAAATTTAGTGCGCTCGTGTTTATATCAGTTATATTTACCGGGGTTTGAATATCCCGCATAAAGAAAATGTCTGGATCTTCCACCTTCATGTTGTTTATTGGAGTGCTAAACATGTCCTCATACTGCTTTTTTAGGATTTCACTAATTTCTTTGTCATCCTCCGTGTATGAACCTTCACTTGTACGAATAGGTCCAATGTAGCATAGTGGGGTACTGTATCATACTGAGGTGCCGTGGAATACTGGGGTATTGTAGCATAATGGGGTGCCGTGAGATACTGGGGTACTGTAGCATGATGTGGTGCCGTGGTCTACTGGGGTACTGAAGCATTCTGAGGGTGCCGTGGTCTACTGGGGTACTGAAGCATTCTGGGGTGCCGTGGGACAATAGGATACTGTAGCTTACTGGAGTGCCGTGGGACACTGGGGTACTGTAGCATACTTGGGGGCTGTGAAACATTGAAGTACTTTAGCATTCTGGGGTGCCGTGGGACAATAGGGTACTGTAGCATTCTGTGGTGCCGTAAGACACTGTGGTACTGTAGCATACTGAGGTGTCGTAGAACACGAAGGTGCTGTATGGAACTGGAGAGCCGTGGGACTCTGGGGTACAGTAGCATACTGTGGTGCCGTGGGGCACTAACGGTTTGCATCTTTGGGGAGAGCCGTGGGTCACTGGGGTAGTGTAACATACTGGGGTCCCGAGGGATATTGGAGTACTCCTGGATAATACCTGGAAAGTGTTCTGTGATTTCTTCTAATCTCATAGACGGACCTGAGGCCAGGCTCGACTTGTGATAACTTGGTCCAACATGCTGTTGCTTCGAGCGGCCTGCAGGCCTTCATATCCACCCCAGCCCATTTGGCACTTCTTGCAAGAACTTATGTAAGTGCTTCTTGAATGTATCCACCTTTGTTCCGGCAAGTAATGGGCACCGGTCGGCCGAGCGGACAGCACGCTGGACTTGTGATCCTGTGGTCCCGGGTTCGATTCCGGGCGCCGGCGAGGAACAATGGGCAAAAGTTTCTTTCACCCTATTTCTGTTACCTAGCAGTGAAATAGGTACCTGGGTGTTAGTCAGCTGTCACGGGCTGCTTCCTGGGGGTGGAGGCCTGGTCGAGGACCGGGCCGCGGGGACACTAAAGCCCCGAAATCATCTCAAGATAGATCCGAAGACTTTATTAATATCTCCCTGCAGTTTTTCAGTGTCTTCTACAGAACAAATTGTAATGTAGATTTTTTTTATTATCTGCAAAAGATGACACGAAACTGTGACAAGTATATTTCTCTATCCGAGATAAGAATAAGAAATAACAGCAGGGCAAGGACTGTGCCTTGGGGTACAAAACTTCTCACTTCACTTGGGCTTGATCTTATTTGATTGACCGTCACTCTCTGCACTCTGTTTAACAGAAAGTTAAAAATCCAACGCCCAACTTTATCCGATATTCCTATTGCTTTCATTTTATGGGTTACCATTCCATGGTCACATTTGTTGAAGGCCTTTTCAAAGTCTGTATATACATCTGCATTTTGTTTTTCTTCTAAGGCTTCTGTCATTGTCATAGTGGTTGAATAACTGTGACAGACAGGATCTTCCCGCTCTAAATCCATGTTGGAGTGTAGTAGCGTTCCTCGGTGATCTGGTGAGGTGTGCTAATGATGTCAGAGCATCAAAAGCCATTGTCAGCAGCAAAAGTAGCTCCCTCAGGCGATGTAAAAGTAACCTTCATGGTGGCGAGTTGGGGTGCGAGTTGGCGACGACGTAGGTGACAGCTATCGCAAAGTCCTGGAGAGCAATGAGAGTGACAGGGTTGAAGAGAAACTGTAAGGCTGCGGCACTGCTGAACAACAGTTTGGGTCCTACATCGTCGACAACATCGAGTGGTGCAACGGTGGTTTTGGTGAAGATCAACAGTCAGCAGTCTTGATGGAAGATGCTTTCTCACTATCGGTGCGGTCGGATGATTCGCTCGGAACTCTCGTTGACGACGAGTGGACGTTACTGGTTGAAAATGAGAGGACGTCTACTGGTTGACGACGAGCGGACGTCTACTGGATGACGACGAGTGGTGGTCGCCAGGACGACATCGAGCAACGTGACACGTTATGATCTCCGGTCTCAATACGGGCGTCAGGGATTCCTCTTCAACGATCCAGATTGTTACGACATCCGGGACATTTAACACCTGGGGTCACAGGCAAATGATAGATTGTTTCATCTTCTAGTTGAATCTAGAAGTAATGACTGAGAATTGCTGGGAGTTGGCGGCTCGTTGTGTTCATCGTGGCGTGATGGTTGTCTGGTTCTTCCTACACCAGAGGTCATTGGAAGACGTTGCTGTGGTTATCCTCGATTAGGGTCTAAATTCAAGCAGCCTATCGGGATTCTGAAGTTTGGCAAACACTATTTGGTTACCCATAGTTCACAATATGCCTGACGCGTATTGTGTTGTATGAGGTCACTGGATGAGGGTTCCGATAGTCTTCCAGATGGTTCTCTACGTATTCACCTAGTTATTCTTGCGGGGGTTGAGCTCTGCTCTTTCGGCCCGCCTTTCAACTGTAACTAACTACTAACTAATTTATTTATTTATTTTATTCCCCCACCCCACACACACACACACCCAGGAAGCAGCTCCATAACAGCTGTCTAACCCCCAGGTACCAATTTACTGTTAGGTTACAGGGGCATCAGGGTGAAAGAAACTTTGTTTCTGCCTAGTCCGGGAATCGAACCCGGGCCACAGAATTACGAATCTTGCTTGCTGTCCGCTCAGCTACCAGACCCCCAAACACCATATGTGGGATGGTGATGAGGAGGTCACCAAGCATATGCATGACCCTGTTTATCAGCCACGAGGCACAGCAGCGTCAGCCGCCAGCCTCATGCCTCACCCTTCACGGGGACGACTGACTTATCCATCACTTTTTTGTACATTGGTTAATATTAGGAGAAGACGACTTTTGACTCCCGTTAGGAGGCCCAGAGCTTTCCTCTCCCTCAGCTTATACTAAGTTCTACTTTACCTTCTACTTCATCCAAGAACATGAAACAACAATTGATTAACAGCGGTCCCAATTACGGCTACTTGAACAGGGGCAAACAATTAAGAATTGTCACTCGTTACCGACTGGCATCCATTGAGTAATTCCCGACCAGAGCATGAACTTGAACATGTGCCGTCGAAACCCTCAAATTCAGCAACAATACGCTGAGAGTTTACCGTAGTCATAAACAATAATGAGGACATAGAAATACTTGCAGGTTGGTAAGGGAGCTATAGTAATTGCTATAATTATTAACCTCTCCTAAATTGATGAGCGAGGGAACAGAGCACCAGCTTCCCTTCATGTTATGGGAAAACCAAAATTTCTTTACGATGGTCGTCCCCTCTCTTCATCACCAAGCTGACGAGCCAAATCATCTCGCATTCGGTTCAGAAATTAAAAGAGTTCTAACGGGAGACGTTGAGAAATGAGACTCACGTCCCTATTGAGAGACAAAAGAGAGCATATAATGACTGTGAGAAGTGAGGATGAGAGATCTGTTGTAAACATTGAGAGAGGAGACAGCATACTGTGAGAGGTGATGGTGAGAGCTGTGCTGTAAACATTGAGAGAGGAAGCAGCATACTGTGAGAGGTGGTGGTGAGAGCTGTGATATAAAGATTGAGAGAGAAAGCAGCATACTGTGAGAGGTGATGGTGAGAGCTGTGATGTAAACAATGAGAGAGGAGACAGCACATGGTGACTGTGAGAGGTGCTGGTAAGAGCTCTGTTGTAAACATTGAGAGAGGAGGCAGCATACTGTGATAGGTGATGGTGAGAGCTATGATGTAAACATTGAGATAGGAGGCAGCAAGTAGTGACTGTGAGAGGTGGTGGTGAGCGCTGTGCAGTAAACATTGAGAGAGAAGAGAGAGCACATGGTGGCTGTGAGAGGTGGTGGTGAGACCTTTGATGTAAACATCGAGATATGTTTATATAAAACATTGAGAGCTGGTGTTCATGTCTTATATCTCAAGTACCAGTAAAATATAATCAAAATATTAAATTTTTTTAAAGACGGACAATGTATCCAGCGCTAATTAATTTTATTATCATTTAATTATGAAGATCACTGTTGTTCACAAAAGAACATTAATTTTTTTTACAATCTAAAATATTAAATTTGATCTACTTGATTGTATCACATTATGTCAAGTGTGAAACCTGAGGTAACAAGTCAATCATCAGAGGAGACGCCATGACTTCTCGTCTATCGAACTTTAATTACCTTTCTGCGGATAAAAACGTCTGGTAGAAACTAAAACTCTACAAAACGAGGGCCACCCACCATCCAGGGCCAGGCATTGATCTTCGCTGTTATTCCACCCACCACCATTGGCTTAGCGGCTGCCACTCTGCTAGAACTGGTTCTAAAATCCAAAAAAATTGTTCTAGGATTGCTCACACCACATTCTGGAAAATAAAATTGCTTGTTTATATGAAGTTTGAAAGAGCAACATTCTTTCAAATGATGAGATTCAATAATCAGATTTCAGTGTAATAAACATGCCACAGAAAATTGAATGAATCCTTAGTCACCAAAAAACTCACCAAAATTAATTGTTGGGGAGGAGATGTCCAGGACGGGAAGAGGCACACGGTCCTCACTAACATTGCCTGCAATGTTAAAGCTCATTTGTAAACATTTGGAAAAGGTTTATAAATAAGCATTTACAACGATATGTGATGTTTGGGGGAAATAACAAAACTGGTCACACAGTAATGAGAACAAATTATTTACTGCTCTATGTGATGTCAGCTAGCAATCTACAATATGTGACATCACTGATTATGTCTGAATTAAATATCTGAGCATGTTTTTCACTGATACGTGAAAATGTGTGATGCTGGCAGGCCAACCATTGCTTGTTACATAACTGATATGTAAGAGTCTGTCAACCACTCCTACTAGACCACTATGTTTCACACTGTCATTTGCTCCAAGGATTTTGGGTATGTTGTAAACTTCAACAATAAAATTATTTATTGTGTGGTTTTATGTAATGATGTATTACTTGTGACAAATGGGATTGTGTAGTGTGGTGTTATATTTTCCTACAAGTGGGTTGTATCTAAGTCTATAAAAGAGAATGTTTTCCTGTCTACGTTTTGAAGCCAGATGCATGGGGCTATCTTGAGATGATTTCGGGGCTTTAGTGTCCCCGCGGTCCGGTCCTCGACCAGGCCTCCACCCCCAGGAAGCAGCCTGTGACTGCTGACTAACACCCAGGTACCTATTTTAGTGCTAGGTAACAGGGGCATAGGGCGAAAGAAAGTTTGCCCATTGTTTCTCGCCTGCGCCCGGGATCGAACCCGGGACCACAGGATCACAACCCCAGCGTGGTGTCCGCTCGGCCGACCGGCTCCCCGATCTCCCATGCCGGGCTATCCTCAACCAACTTCACAGTGGCAATGGTTTGGGGAAAGGAATAAATATTGACTGGGCAGCGTCGCCAGAATTCAAGAGGAAATAAGGCAATAGGGTCACATTTTGACCCCAAGACGATTTTTGGCCCTATCTGCCAGCACCACCTGCTTGAGTTGTAGCTAAATATTTAAACAAAAAATTAAAAAATATATATTATATAGTAATATGCATCTTTATCCATTGATCCCGGGAAAATTACCAGGAATATTCTGCTGTTCATACTTTGGCCGTAATATTATAAAACATATAACTTCAACACAGAGCCCTCTCCTCCCATGCCAAGCGAAAACCAAAGGCCGATTCACAGGTTCGAACCAAAAGGGGGAACTATTATATTTTGTGTATATGTTATTAATTATGATGGCATACTGACACTCTTTTTTAGTGATTAGCAATATTATAGATGAGAAATATATATGGCTAGATAGATAGAGACATAAAAGCGAGAGGAGAAAAACTGAAAGATCAGGCAATGCAGGTAACCTCCCACCCACTAAAGTGTGGATGGGAGACATACATTCAGCCTCATCATACATCTGAGGCTGTATGATAAGCATAATAGATTGTTTGTCATGTATTGTTGCAAGTACTATTTTGGCTTCTTTCATTCCCAAAACATATACACCTCTAATATCTTCAATACTCACTCATATTCCAATGTTTCGCATATATGACGACATTTATAAAAGTTAGTCTAACTCTTGACCATAGATTGCAGTGCCCATATACCAATAGGCTAGTAAGTAAGTAATTATCAAAAGAAGGTAAGTAATTATCAAAAGAAAGCACAAACCGGGAAGGCTATGTAGCACCATCAAATGCGCAAAATAATCAGAGGGCGCTAAATATCACCAAGGATGCCAATACGAGAACAAAAACGCATAAGGAGAACGATATCAAAAGTATCCGAGTCACCAACAATTCTATTGAGGGACAGGTGACCGCGAGGGGCGGTCGAAAAGCAAGACACACGCTCGTCCTGGAAGTCAGGACATTCAAGAAGGACATGCACGACCGTAAGAGGGACAATGCAACTAGGACAATAAGGAGCAGGGCGGCGCTCCATCAATTGATCATGGGTTTAGCGAGTATGGCCAATACGCAACCTCGCCAGAGCTGTTTCCCATCGCCGGTTACGGTGGAAGGAGGACGGCCACGAGGAAACACAACATTTAAGAGTACGTAGTTTGTTACCAGTAACAGACAACCAAGAAGCCTGCCAACGGGTAAGGACGGAGGAATGGATAACCGGGTAAAAGTCGGAATACGGAATACCTTTACGAGAGATGGGACAAGAGCGGACAGCTTCCTTGGCAGCAGCATCCGCACGCTCATTAAAAGACACACCAATATGGCTGGGAACCCAACAAAACTCAACCGACTTAAATTTACTGTGAGCAAGAAACAGCCAATGCTGGATCTCGACAACTACTGGATGAACCAGATTAAAGGACCCGAGAGCCATGATGGCACTACGAGAGTTAACAACAACTACAAAGGAAGACTGAACGAGAAAGCAGGAGACGAGAGCATAGAGAATAGCATAAAGCTCCGCTGTGAAGATGCTAGTCTCCGGAGGTAAGCGACACATATAAGTGCGAACAGGAAAAACAACAGAGTAGCCAACACCGTCTGCAGACTTAGATCCATCAGTGAAGACAGAAACGGAGCGGGAGTGAGAAGAAAAGTGCTCAAGGAAAAGGCGTTTTAGAACCGTAGGAGGGGTAAAAGCTTTAGTGATACGGATCAAGGATGTACAAAACTGCGGAAGAGGGACTCTCCACGGGGGCAAAGAAGGAACAACACGAAGAGAAACATTAGAAATACGAACGGAAAGAGAGTCCTGTAGGCGAGATAACCGGACAGAAAGAGGGAGGTGGTGAAGAGGAACAGGAACCGCAGGAGGGGTAAAAGTCAAAGCACGACAGAGGCGAGAGGAAGGATATTGTAAGGACCGCGCAAGATAGCGAAGACAGTAGCGATCACGGCGGTCTTGGAGAGACAGGAAGCCAGTGTCAACATACAAGCTAAGGATGGGAGTCGAACGAAAGGCACCAGAACTGAGGCGCAACCCAGTATGGTGCAAAGCATCAAGACGGCGAAGAGTAGAAGGAGAAGCAGACGAGTAAGCAGGGCAACCATAATCGAGCTTAGACAGGACGAGAGAGGAATGTAAAGCAAGGAGAGTGCGCCTATCTGCCCCCAAAGAAGTCTGGGACAAGACCCGAAGGAGGGTAAGGGCCTTAGAGCACTCAACACGGAGGTAAGAGATATGGGGAGACCAAGACAAACGAGTGTCAAGGAATAACCCCAAAAGCTTCGCGGAATCTTTGTACTCAAGGGGATGACCATAAAGTGACAAAGAGGGACGAAGAACGACCCGTTTCCGCGTAAAAGTCATGGCACAAGTCTTAGAAGTAGAGAACTTGAAGCCATGATCGGTGGCCCAAGATGACACGACATCAATTGCAAGTTGAAGCCGGCGCTGAAGGAGAGGCGAATCATCACCCTGACAGCAAAGGGTAAGATCATCGACATAGAGAGCGAAGAAGACACCTGAAGGAAGAGAGGAAAGAAGACCATTGAGGGCAACCAGAAAAAGAGTAGTGCTCAGAACCCTACCCTGGGGCACACCTTCGTATTGCTGAAAAGAGGCAGAGAGAGCGGTACCAAGGCACACCCGAAAGGAACGACGAGAGAGAAAACTGCGGAGAAAGAGAGGGAGATGACCACGAAGGCCAATAGAATGAAGTTGAGATAGAATATGATACTGCCAAGTGGTGTCGTAAGCCTTTTCCAGGTCAAAAAGGACGGCAACAATGGAGGTCTTCGCAGCAAAAGCAGTACGAATATAGACCTCTAAGTTCACCAGGACATCTGTCGTGCTGCGGCACTTGCGGAAACCAAATTGAGAAGGGGAGAGGAGGTGATGGTGTTCCAGGAACCACATCAGACGAACGTTAACCATACGTTCAAAGAGTTTGCAGACACAACTTGTGAGGGCAATAGGGCGAAAGTCCTTAGGGGAAGTACCCAGAGACCCCGGTTTGCGAACAGGGAGGACAACGGCATCGAGCCAGTCCTCAGGGACTGACGACAACTCTCAGATCCGATTATACAGACTCAGTAAATACTGAGACGTGCACGGAGGGAGATGGCGAAGCATCTCATAATGAATACCATCGGGGCCCGCCGCCGTAGAACCGCAGAGGGCCAGGGCAGAACGAAGTTCAGAGAGAGAGAAGGGATCATTATAGGGAAGCTGAAGACGAGTGCAGAAATCTAAAGGACGAGACTCAAGGACAGGTTTACGAAGAAGGAAAAATTGGGGACGATGAAGACCAGAGCTAACAAGAGAAAAGTGGGAACCCAGTACGGAAGCGACCTGCAACGGGTCCGCCACAAAGAGTATCATGGAGGTGAAGGACCGGTGAAACATCGGGAACGAACTTACCCGCTATCTTGCGGATACGCTTCCAGATCTGTGGCAGAGGAGTTTCGGACGTAATTGTTGAGACATAAGGACATAAGATGCCCAACATTCACGTTTAGCCGTACGGATGGCCCTATGGGCCACCACACTCGCATCCGAAAGAAAAGAAAAGAATCGGTCGTCTGCCTACGGCGGTGCCTCTTCCAGGCTGCACGCTTACAGCGGACAGCCCGAGCACAGTCCGCATTCCACCAGGGAACGCACTTCCGTGGACCCCGAGAGGAGGAGCGAGGAATAGAGCGGAGGGCAGCGTTGAAGACAGTGTCATGAAAAAGGAGAATAGCGCGAGAGTGAGGCAGAAGGGAGAGGTCAGAGAGAGCAGCACTGAGGGTAAATAGGGTCCAGTCCGCCTTAGCAAACTGCCACCTAGGGAAAGAGAGGGAAGGGCGAAAAGAGAAAAAGGAAACAAGGATGGGGAAATGATCACTTCCATGGAGATCATCAAGAACCTGTCACGTGAAATCTAAGTAAAGAGAAGAAGAGCAGAGAGAAAGATCAAGACAAGAAAGGGTGCGAGTCCGAGAGTCTAAATGAGTGGGCTCACCAGAATTCAGAAGAGACAGGGAAGAAGAGAGGAGAAACGGCTCAAGAAGGCGACCCCGGGTATTCGTCAGAACGTCACCCCAAAGAGAATGACGACAATTGAAGTCACCCAGCAGGAGCACAGGCTCCGGCAAGGAGTCTAGGAGGTGTTTCAAATCAGGTAGAGAAAGCG